TTTTAAAGCAGCCCGTGATCGTGCGGAGGGCACCGTTCTGTGCTGACTGAAGTTTGGTTATTACTGTCGGTGCCCTTTTGGTGTCGGGTTCGACGAAGACGTCGAGCTCCAGATCTGTGGACTCTATAAGTCCGTCCTCAGGCCAGTTATGCTGACAAATTCGAAGTGTAGCCATTTAGTCAATAAAAAAAGTGTGCTTCAGAGGGATCAGTATTACAGTGTCACCACACTGGTGCTCACCGTTGGACATGCTCGATTATAAATGGCCGCCCACTGACAACGGGCGCCCAACCTAAAAGCAAAGTGGCTAAGTGCTGATGTGCTTCAAGGTGTCGAGCATCCAAAACCAACACTTCGGTTGAAAACATTGTACCTGAACCAGAAGGCTGGACTTACCCTATCGATCGAAATTCTAGGCATAATGGTGCTCTGCTTTGTGAATAGCACACGCCCTTATAGTTCATGCATTATAAATGTCTCGCGACGCCGTAGTGTTTGGCATACTCTCGAACATCGTGTCATTCACACCCCCGGGTCCCTTGGCAACAACTCAACGCGATTAGATCAATAAGATTGCTACTCTTTTTAGAATCGTCTTATTGACTATTGTGGCTTCTGTTGGTGTTAACTTACAAATGCATACCATTCCTTTTCAGAGTACCTACTTGGCCTACGTTCAGATACTGCCACTCCTGATTCTCTTCGGTCTGTCCTTCTTCAGCAACCTGTTTGTAAAGGATGCTCCTTTCAGTCTTTCGCGCACCACGTAGGTTTTCTCTTTAGCCTCGAAAAATTTGCCTATCCCCCGTGATTAATGACTGCATAGTATTAAACACCGCTTTTCTTTTTGTTAACCTACAGTAAGTACCCGGTGGAGCGAGTGACCGCCCAACATAACATCAACTATTACGTCAAGCCAACCTTTTCGGAGGATTTCGACGGTAACCTCGCCCACATGGAGTCCCAGGTTGAGGAACAGTATGTCTACTACCTGCGTGATCGATGTTTCAAGGAACAGAACCAGAGTACGTGATTAACTGACTGACTTTTTATTTTTCCTACGATGGTGTTATCAGACCGTTGCTCTCTCTCTCTCTCCCTCTCTCCCGCTATCTCCAGTCGCACCCCAGTGTTTCAGTTGACAAAGACTAGTAGAAAGAACTTCAGCGAACAGCGCATCTGTGAAATAAGTCAGTTTACACCTAGCGAATAAGCTGCCACAGATCAGCAGTGACAGTGCTCCTAGACTATAGCCGGCCAAATCTAATGTGGTCACTGTGCCCTGCCTTCCTGAACCGATCTTAACTGGGTTGTTTTGCCGCTGCTGTCCTGTGGTCAGGTTTAGATGAACGGGAGTACTGCAGGGAGTAGCGTCGAACAATCGATCCAACAGCTGTTGGACACCAAAATGAATTGATACTCACGAATAGAAGCAAATATGCGTGCCCCAGGTTCTTTTTGTAAAGAAGAATAAGAAGACGTGATCTCTGGAACGATAGTTTTATTCTGAGCTTTCGGCTGCACACAAGGAGCCATCGTCAGAGGAAATGAGAGAGCAGCAAGCGTTGGCTACGCGTAAATGGGGTTGGTAGGGGGGGGGTGGTAATT